CATTCATTTTTCACTAACAACATTTTGGTTTTAGTGTCTAATGTAGCCTCAGATGAAAACATAAATAAAGCCATGTAAAACTCAAGTGTAACTGCAATTTTACTGTCCATTTTTGGATTTTATAGTTTTACTGTATGTACATGAATAGTCAAAACAGACCATTAGTAGCAATCAGAAATAAAGACAACAATATTAACTAGAGCCAGAATATGCAACAGAAGTAAACACAAAACTAGACTCACGTTTCCAAATCACAATTCAATTATTTATACCCTGTCAAGTAAAAAAAAAATAAAAAAAATCATTGGTTTAGCTCAGTCCTTATCATTCTAAGATAAATTATTAATGCATTCTGTAGATACAAGTACCAATACAGAAACTGGATCTCTAAAACTCATGACACTCCATTTTATTATTTGATCTGTAGATTAAAAATGAGCTTGAATAATAAGATGTTTCCAGAAACCTAAAACATGCTATACAAAGTCAAGGATTTCCTGATTCCCTTTGCTGCTGTGGCAAAGGAAGGCAAAGAAAGGAAAAAAAAAAAAAAAAAAAGAAAACATAAGAAAGGTAAGACACCTGAACACACTATAATCACTAAATAAAACCTCTAAGAATGAGAATTAAGATTCCAGAATATTACAGAAAATTTGTATTTTGAAAAGATACTCAGAACTCAAAGAGTGACAAAAAAATACATGCTCCTGATAGTCCTGACTGAAAAACTTAAAGCTAAAATACTATACAATTCTTTCTTTGCAATCAGCCACCAGGCTTTAACATCCAAAGCAAGGACTGAGCTGCAGGAATTTTAAATATGAAGTATTACACAATTCTCTTCTGAACTTTATGCAGAGATTAAGACACTCCATAACTGTCCAATTTAACAAGAACCACTTGTATACAGAGATTGCTTTAGAGAAGAACCTCTCTGTCTGCTTCTTAATGAGCTGTCAAAAAATAAGTAAATCAAAATTATTAAAAAAACAAAAAAAAAACACCATCACCTTATCCAAATATCAATTGAACAGTAAGGTAAGTCACTGGAGCTTGATAAACATTGTTTCCTGAGGTATGATAGAAACAAACGAGCATTTTTTTCATATGGATATGGTGCACCAAGTATAACTAAAATTCCTGACTTAAAAACACACATTCTGAACACATCATTTGTGTTGGGCAGTTATCAGTTGCTGTGTATGTGTAGATAAGTCTCTCACAGTAATGTCACATACTGAGTAGGAGTAATAAAATAGTCCAGGCACGGTTGTAGCTGAGAAACATTAACAATCTTAGATTTCACTGCATTTAAGAGAAACATATAAAAATATATTGGGGAAAAGAAAAAAAAATAAAATTCACAAACCTTAATGGTTGTAAAACTCGCAACTCATTTTCCTCTGCTAATATCTCTCAGAAAAATTGTGATTCACATCTGTATCACTGAATTCATTGTGGAAGTGACCTCATGATATAAACATGACTAGCACACAATATAGAAAAACACAAAGTGGAGAGCAAATAGGAAAAAATACATTGTTGCAAGCTAACACCAACATACTAATCAAATATCTTTTGGTCTTACTGTCTACATTTCATAACTAAGAGATTTTTGGCATAAATAAGATTCCCAGCAGTAAGTACAGATGAACCTCATTAATATTTTAGCTATTATAAAAATTTTAGATTCGGGGAAATTTATGTTTTCTTGTTTTGGAAGGAAAATATATCATCAGGTTTAATTAACCATTTTTCACCTTGGAAGTATCTTCTATTTGCTACCAAAAAAAAAGTCTTCCAAAAATCAGAATGAAGCACACTGAAAATTATGATTTAGTTACCAATTAAAACTGCTTACTAAAATAGGATTTTAAAAATCATTTAACATTTTAAACTGTTTGTTTTATAGAGATTCTGCAAAAATCAATATTTAGAATTAAATTATTTTTATTCCTAGGTTGTTCAGGCTCTTGGCTAGCAAAATCACCTTCCCTGGTGGGGGGAGGGAATGCATTCATCTATAGGAGGCTATGTTTCCTGTCTTTGCATCCCAAGTTCTGGAAGCATTACCAACAGACCCTTTACAAGAAAAATAACATACTATAATTGATGCTGTGCTGAGCTTCTACATATGTGAAATGGGCATAACAATGCAAGCTAAAGCAGGAGGTTTCAACAAAATATGGCATGTATGAATGTCTATTGGGATTAGTATCTTACTGAAAACAGACTTAACGGATGGGAAATGAGATGTAAGAGGTCCGTCAGTAAGAGAATAAAAATGTCTGTTTTAATTGATCTATATAAGTAGTGCATCCTACTATGAAACAGTTGTTAAGCACAACCAGTTTCAAGCCTATACAACATCCAAGATAGTCCTGTCAAATGAATTCATACAGCCAAACACAGAACTGTGCTACGTTATCAGAAGCATCAGTTCAGCACTGCTACACTTGATGGCAAGGTTGCAACTGATGAAAATACTTTTATTCTAAGCAAGATAATAAGTCTGCTAAAATAAAAATATAATTAAGAGAACATAAAGACCTTTTGATATTCTTTGAAAAAATAACACAGAATGAGCAGTTACTTATAAACAGTGACAAAATTTTCAGTATTTTAAATATTTGTTGTTTATCTAAAAATTTACTGCTATCCAAAATAAGCAATACCATTCTTTCCTGGATTACACGTATGTAAGAATTTAATTTGATGCTTCTGAAGCATATAAAATAGTAACATAACCGCCAATCTTGAGTAATAAATAGTGGGTTTAATTGCCATGATTCATGAATAGCATAAGTCCACGTGAAAGCAGTAGTGATTTTATTTTATGATGGTCCTGACAATCACCATTAGCCCCATTTCACTGATTTGAAAAGTGAGAAATTGCCTATCCATGATCACATATCAAATAGCAGTTCTCTGTTTATTTTTCCTCCTCCAAAAAATTCTTAATGTTCAAGGCAATATCCTCTTTCATACCTTCCCCTGGGACTGCACAAAACAATACCCAATCATAAAATCTTACATATTTCTTACATTCTTTTAAGTTTACCTCTGTATCAAGTTCATATTTAACTTTTAAATTTCAGATTTAAATGGATATTAAGTACACTTTCTGTATTTTTATATATATACAAAATATTTATAACTGGAATAATTTTAACTAGAAGAAACTGGTATAACAACTAATATCCCCAAATACATTCAAACTTTTAAGGGAAAATATTGTAGGAGCCCACTGTTCGGCTGCGATCTTGCAGATGCAAATTCCAATAATTTATTCATAATAATACTGCATTTATTTGTACAATCAAGGATATTGACCAAGTATAATATCTACTAACATACTCTTATTTCTGCCATTTGGACTTACATTAAATAAGACGTCCAAATGTGCAAGTGTTATTTTTCTACGATTGATTAAAACTGCTGTTTTAAGCTCAAATTTTTTTGTGTAAAACATTTGAGCTGTGCAACGTGCATCTCACCTCTTCATTTTAAGAGAATATTTTTCCCCATCAGCAATTCCATCTAATTTTTCCATCCAACAAGCCTATCTGCGATATTGTAACGTCAGCGTGACCATTATGTTGTAGTCGTTTCACCGTTACTACTACGCAACAAAATATTCTAATGGAAGCATTTCCATTGGATATTCCTCAAGGTTAAACAATCAAGAATGCCATACCTCAAACAGGCCCCAATGCCACAGCAGTGACTATCAGTAGTTTCAATATTCTAAATGTTTAAGTTCAAAGAAAGTTAGAAGTTCAGGTGTGCGTTCTTTACACCAGTATACAATTTACGCTTCCACCATTTCCCACATGGCAGCCTTACGCGGTAACTCTGCCCAAGTTCACTGAGAACATGACAGGAATAACTAATACACAACCGGGCCTGTTTTTTAAGTTTCCTCACTGAAACATGCACATTTCCAGGAAACGAGCGAGGCCATTTGCTGCAGGAGCTTCAAACTGAAACCCTCACCCACGCGCAGCAACACCAGATGCATTTTCCTCCTCACTGCTTCCACTGCCGCGCTCAGCATTGACGCCAACTTCTTTCGAGGCCATTTGGCAGGTGCAGGCGGCCACTCCCTGTCCCCACAGCGAGCCAGGAGGTGCTTTCGAGGCGCAGGGCGTGCTGCCACCACCCCAACACCTCCCTGCTGCGGGCAGACCGCACCACCCCTCCCTCACCCCACCACCTCACCCCACACCTCACCAAGGCGCGTCCCAGACAGCGCTCGGGCTCCTGCCGGGTGTCCCCCAGCTCTCCACACCTCACGACCGGGCGCAGCGCCCCACGCCCTCCCTGCCCCACGCCAGCCCTACCTGCGAGCCGCAGCAGGAGCCCCCGCCGCGCAGGGCAGGGCGCCAGGCGCGCCCCCGCGCCACGCTCCCCACCTGCCGCCACCTCGGGGCGAAAACAGCACCGCGCATGCGCGCCGCCGCCGCCTGCACTGGAGCCGCGTCACGTGCTCCCATGCAGCCTGCGCGGAGCTGCGCTGCGCTGGCGAGCGGCTGCGCCGCGCGGCGCCTGTGCAGCCCTGCAGCCCCGGAGCATGCGCACTGCCGCTGCCGCCGCCGCCGCCGCCGCCACAGCGGGGGGCAGCGTTCCGCGCCAAGTGCTGCCGCTGCCCGGCCGCCGCGGGCACGCGCCCCGCCGCCCGCACGGGGCCGCGCAGTACCTGTGCCGCCGCGTTCTGCGGGAGCCCCCCTGCCGCCGCGCCCGCCTCCTCCGCCGCTGCCGCCGTAGATTCAAAATCGGAACCCGCTCCGGGCACCGACACCGCCTCCCCCCGTCGCGCGCGCGCCGGGCCGTTATGCAAATCAGGCCCGTGTCCCCTCCCCTCTCCCTTCAGGCCCCGCCCCCTCCGCGGGCACGGGGGCCGGCCGCCAGGGCTGCCTCGGAGCCGGCCAATCGCCGGGCCGGCCATGCTGGCGGCATGCAAATGAGCCCCGGCAGTATTTAAATGAGCGCTTGGCTCCGCCCCTTGGCGGGCGGTTACCGGCGGGAACGCGCAGGGGCCGCCGCTGCCAGGGGGCGCTGTGGTGGTTACCCCGAAAGGAACCGGTGTTACCCACTGGGTGCGGCGCTGGTGGCAGCGTCTGCACTGGAGCATCCTTATGGGGGCCGTGGTCCAGTTCCTTGGTTCTCTGGGACGTAACTTCAAGTTTTGTCTGCTACAGGCAGCGCCTGGCCAAAACACAGAGGGTTGGTTGGTTGGTTTTTAATAGCTTTGAGTATGGAGAGTGTCGAGCAACCAAGAAGCGCTGCTCTCCATCTAAGGCACGTGGATTATCCCAGGTGACCTGCATTTCAGAGCCATAAGCAGCCATTTCCCACCTGCCCTCCATTTCTACCTCAGGAGAGGATGGCAGAGCTCAGTACATGCTTTAGCTTCAGCCATGACTTACAACGCTTTGTTCTCAACCAAAGGCAGAAGTGACTTGTGAAGAGCTAGTCTGTACTCCAAGGCACTAGTCAGTTCTAGTGGAGAGAACGGTGGCTATATCCCTAGGTAAGTACAAGGGTGTAGAAAAACTTGTAGTGTTTTCAGAATAAGTGTTTACGTACTGCCTGAGTGGTAGTGTGGAGGCTCAAGTACCAGTCATCTACCAACCCTGTAATGGAGAGTCCCATTCCCTCTCTGTTAATGCCACTAAAGCTCCCATTCTTCCTACTGAAGGCACAAAACAGTGGAAAATGGCATCTCACTTCATCTGTTTCAAGAGAATGCTAAATATGAAGTACATTTCTGTCAGTCATATACAAAAAAGGCTGACCAACACAGTTCTGCATTCCTCTATGTTGTGAAACAGTATCTATGGCACAGCCATTATAAATGTTCGTCAGCCGTGCTTGACAGTTTAAGTGACAGTATTTTAAGATGCTGTCATTCCTGGTGGTTTGCCTAACCTCCCTGCTAAGTGCTTCCACTGACAGTGCCAAGATGGCAGAAAGAAATGTATCCACGTGCCCATAAATTTGTGTAAACACATCTGCAGCAGTGCTTTATTCAGGTATACTAACCCTGGAACTTGATCCACTGAAGTGTGAATGTACATCTTAGTCTGCCATCTCTGGTACAGACACAACAATTTCTAACAAAAAGTGTGGCAGACACCTGAAACAGTAATTTCTTAAACTGTCACAGCTAGTCTTTGAAAAATGTTGAATCTTCTGTGCTTTTACATGCAGACAGAGGCAAGCACTTCAGAAAGAAAAGGCTAGAACTATCCAGAAGTGTGTAGTTACTAACCCTGCCTATTGTTCAACTTGAAATGTTGCTGCTGGTGAGCACTTTAGCAGGTCCATGCATATACATCCTTTGAGAGTCAATCAGGAGTGAAAGCTTTTTGGCTAAAAGATGCATGTCTTCAGAAGACTAGGTATTAGTATAATAATCTCTTTGGATAACTGCTGGTGGCATTCCTGCTTCAGTATGGAAACCCTTAGAGCACCATAGTGTTTTATTGACGACAGTGCATTTCCTGTGCCTAAAGGGAAAATGAGGAAGAAGGATTTGTCACCCTAAAGAACATGGTTCCCTGTTATTAGCTTGATTTTTTTTTTTTTTAGTTATTATCACAGATAAATAGAAAATTTGGAAATGCACCATGAAATGAATGATTACAAAAATCTTTCTTGGATCTCAGAAGAAAAGATAGTAGTGGAAATCTGAGTGCCTCAAAATATCCTATTTTTCAGGCCTCAGTTTAATCAGCAGCTGAGAGGACTGTTTGATTACTAATAGAAGAGATGGAGTGGTGTTGATTGTGTTTATCCCCAGCGTCTAGATTGCTGATGATTTCTGAGAGATTAGAAGTCTTATACTACTGTTCTTTCAAATTCTGAAGAATCCAGCTGTCCAGAATTCATACTTTGTTCATGAGAATAGAAACCGAGAAATCTCTGAAGGAAGTTCAGAGAGCCAGTTCTGTAATGAAATATAGAAAGATAAAAATTGCCATTGAAATCTTACACTTAAACACATGTGAAAGTGTGTGCGAGACCTGGTAGACTGATGGCTGTTTCTTAGGAATTGGTCATAAATATGTCGAATCCTGTTTAGAAAGGAGTTTTTTTAAAAAAATAATCTATTAATAAATTCAGTAGTGACTTGAAAAGTGTTAAGAAACAAATGCATTCAATGTTTTACATAGAATTGCTTAAAAAATTATCTTGTTGCATGTATTCTTTTTTGCAGAGAGAATGGGATCCTTTTCTTCAACAAAGCTTTACAAAAATGACAAAAGTAGAAATAGTAAAATAGTTACAGAAAGACAAACTATAAAACACAAGCAAAATTAGTTAATTTTCAGAATTACTTACTGTTGACCACCACAGACAATGGTTTAACAGAACGTCACCATCTTAATTATTTTTAAAGGGAAATATTTATTTTCATTCTTTTATTTAGCACAAATTATGACTTATTTCATGATTTTTTCAAAATGGTTTTATGGAAATATAATGTCAGTGATTACTTTTTCCCCAGCTTCTTTCTCAGGCAACATTCCCACTCCTGTTCAGCCTTGAAAGAAAAAAAAAAAAAAAATCAAAATCAGGAAAAGCCCCTTCCCCCCCAATGTATTATTAAATACTTCATACTTCACAGTTTTATTAGTTAAGACTAAAATTGTATTAATATAGCTGCTACAGTAAGGAAAGTACCCTTGCTATGCCCTGCTATGATATTTTATATACCAGTATAAGCAGTGGGTTAACATCCTTAAATTTGATAAGTAATGATCATATAGAAATTATCAGTTCAGCAGTTTGAGGAAGAGAAAGTCCAGATTTCCTTCAGCCGTTCCTGCTGAAGGCAGTCTGGTCATAAATTCAGAAGAGCAATGGTATCAATATATATTGCTCAGCCTCTTCACAAGAAAAAAAGTTTAAATAAAAAGTTGTTGACAAAACATGCCTTCAGTAACTTTATTTGCAAAATTTATTTTTATTTTTTATTTTTTCCTGCTAAAGTGGCATGTAAAGCAAATGCCACACTGGAATTAAATGTAAAAGATACTAATCTTATAACAGCACAAAAAGTAGGTTTTCATGTAGGAACATGTAGAAAAATGAGACAACTTGAATGTTACCCAAATAGTAGCTCTCTCCATATGATTTAGTAATTGCTAATTGAGACATTGCCTAGTCACAAATGGGGATGATAAAAAGAAGAAAGGAAAGCCATGCACAGACGAGTTATAGCTCTCAGTATGAAAATGAACTTTTAGAATATAGAAAACTAATTACTTTTAAAGAAATCAAAATATGTCTGTAAGAAATAGCAATACAGAGAAATGAAAAGTAATTTTCCTTGTATGTTTTATTTTTAAATCACTGCTCAAAAATGTGTAATTGCGAGAGGCTACCTTGCATCCATCAAATGGATGACTTCTGAGACAAGATTTATGTTAATTTTTCTTGGTAATTGATTAGATTAATAAGTATTTCTTCTATAGTGATTTAATAGGATAGAATGAATATGACTTCTCTGATTATAAACAGGTCCTATGCAAGGCAAAAGAAACACCATAATACCAGAAAGTAATTTCACTAACAAAAATATCTCTGGCAAGAAAAAAAAATCCCTATCTGAGACAACAATCTGTAATTGATGAGTCTTTTGGGACTTCAAATATTTCACTAGGAAGGCTTAAAATTTCACTCAAGAAGGAATCATATGATACCTTTCTAATGAAGAAAACACAAAGAATTTCAAAGTTCTTTTTAATGTGTGTGTGTTTTTTTTAAATGCAGTAACCTAAAGCACAGCCAACAAGAATAAACCAATGAGAATGTTTTAAATCATTTCCTAAATATTTTTACACATCAACATGGTAACAAACATTGAGCATAAATGTAATAAATGTAACTAAAATACCCGAGGATTTTTTTTCCTATAATTAAGTGAAACTACTACAGGCATTTTTACTTAGATTACTTTTCACTGTTGGTTAAGTACCTTTAAGTAGCTTGACTTTTGTAGAATATAGTATCATTGTCTATTTCCTTTACTGTTGACAAGATACAGAATTTGGGGAAAAATCCTAAATCCACTCTATTCGTCTCAGATTTAATCATAATTAAAATAAATAAAATTCACTAATCATCAAGCAAATGTTGCTCAGCTGTTTTCTGATAAACTTACACTGAGTAACTTTGCTGTATTAGCTAATTCATCTATCTACTAAGCAGATATGTCTAGGTTAAACACCCACCAGTCTTTTTTTTCAGCTTTGAATTGTCTTCTACCTTTGTTACCTTCTAGCTCCACAAAAGCGAACTGCAACTACCTTAATTTCTGTTTTTAACAAAAAAATATATTTTGTACCATATAGGTTGATGCAGTTCAGTCACAATTTCAGAATTCAGTGACAAAAACATATTTCTATAGCTTGTAGAACTAGTTTCTACTACACTAAAATATCGGTATTTTGAGATACAAACAAGTACCATCTACACTGTGCATTGTTGTTCTTAATGTCTAGCTAAAGAGTCTATCAGATTTCAAAAGAAGTAATCTTAACATGACCTGATGGATAATTGGTGTGTATCATATGAAGATCCTTTTCCAAAAAAATCCCAAAATTTAGTCAGTTCTAAGCACTGATCAGGCTTCTGTTTGTTGGAAGAAAAAAAAAATGTCGTCTATTGTCCCACTTACTCTTTGATATGTGAAATCATATCAACTTGTGAAACCAAGTTGTAAAAACAGCACCTAACACACTAGAGAACCTTAAAATTGTAAAAGCTCTTTTGTGTTTATTTTTCTTGCAGCATCTGGAGCACAAGTCCTATGAGGAGTGGCTGAGGGAACTGGGGTTGTTTAGTATGGAGAAGGAGGCTCAGGGGAGACCTTATTGCTTTCTACAACTACCTGAAAGGAAAGTGTGAGGAGCTGGGGGTCGGCCTCTTTCTTGCAGATAACTAACAATAGGACTAGAGGGAATGGCCTCAAGTTGTGTCAGGGGAGATTCAGGCTGGAAATTAGGAGACTTTTCTTCTCAGAGGCATTGGAACAGGTTGCCCAGGGAGGTCATGGGAGGTGGTGTGACTCCACCATGTCCCTGGGGATGTTTAAGGAAAGGTTGTACCTGGTGCTTAGGGACATGGTTTAGTGGGTGACATTGGTGATACTGGGGGATGTTGGACCACATGATCTTGGAGGTCTTTTCCAACCTTAATGATTCTATGATTCCAAGTATTCACGTGATGGCAGTGGACAGTCTTCTTTTCATCAAGTGTATTAATGATGTACCTTCCTGAATGCAGTTGTCTATTCATTACTTTGGAGATAATGGCTCTGGGAGAATCTAGATTTGGAAGAGCCCTCCTTGCCCCTAAAAGCACAACGTAATACTGTGATAGTATTGTTATTACAGTAGAGGTTGAGAAATTAGTGCTCATTTCTAACTCCCACAATACGTTTTAGATGAAATGTGCTTGACCTCTAAATTACACAGGTAAAGTTTTATGAATATGTCTCATTAATTTATCCAATATACTTTATGTATTTTTTTTTTTGAAATGAAGAAATGTGAAGAATATGTCTGATGTTCCCTCCTGTAAGTGCTCTGAGGAATATGTTTTGACATGTTGGAAGAAATGTATTTGAACATCAATTTGGAATGTAATACATATGTAATACATATAGGATGTCTTCAGTAAATGAACTATACAGATGATCTGAAATGAATAGACATGGACTCTTTTTTTTTTTTTTTGTGGTCACATTATTGATTGAGTTTAAACGAATGAAAAATATTTGACCTTTTCTAATGTTTATAAATGGAAATACTTTTTTAAGAGAAAAAATTCTATCCCAGTTAAGAAGGCTTATCCTCAGGGTGAATATCTAATGTCAGCTTCTCAAGTCTTACCTTGGATTTTTTTTTCCATTGTAAGACCTGCTTTAGAGCTTTCTAGCAAGTAGAAGATGTATAGTTTAGTGAATCTGAGTGGTAATATATGGAATTCTCAATAAATGATGTGTATCTTCAAGAAATTGGCAGTGAAGAAAAAGATGCAGAGTGGTTTAGTAACAACTCACAAAGGTAGAATACTTGGACTTATCCACAATGAACTTTTTCAGTAAGAGGTTAATAACATAACTGGAACTTAGGAATATCTAGTGGTTTTGGTAGTGTTTTGAAAAGTCTTCCTTCCTTCCTTCCTTCCTGCCTGCCTTCTTCCTGCCTGCCTGCCTTCCTGCCTTCTTCCTGCCTTCCTGCTTGCCTTCCTGCCTGCCTTCATCCCCTCCCGTTCCCTCCCATCCCCTGCCCTCCCCTCCCTTCCACTCCCCTCTTCCCTTCCCTTCCCGCCCCTTCCCGCCCCTTCCCCCTTCCCCTTCCCCTCCCTCCTCTCCCTTCCTCCCCCTCTCCCTCCTCTCCCTCCCCCTCCCCCTTCCCCTCCCCCTCCTCCTCCTCCTCCCCCCCCTTCACCTTCCCCTCCCTCTCCCTCCTCTACCCTTTCCTCCCCCTCCCCCTCCCCCTCCCCCTTCCCCTCCCCCTCCTCCTCCTCCTCCCCCCCTCCCCCTTCTCTCCCTCTCCCTCCTCTCCCCTTCCCTCCCCCTCCCCCTTCCCCTCCCCCTCTCCTTCCCCCTCCCCCTTCTCCTCCTCTCTGCTCCCCTCCCCTCCTCTTCCTTTCTCTTTTTCCTGCCTTCCTGCCTTTGAAAAACAAAACAACAAAACATTTTCAAGTTTTATTTTTGCTAGAAGTCATTGTGAATAAAATGTGAATTTCAAGACATTATCTTGTCCTTAAAGGTTTTCCTAATCGAAGTCATCATCTGGTATTTTTGCTGTATTCAGAGTACTTTCTCATTACTTCCTTCTATAGCTTCTTTTATCATCTGGTAAAACAAGACCAATGTCTCATCTCTTGTATAAACATAGCTAAGAAAATATTGAACAGTTCTAATACTGAGGCAGGTAACTAACCAAAACAGATGATATCCACTCATCCTCATTCAAAATCATCAACAAATGAAAAACTCAGCACCCACCATTGCCAGTTACCACCATCTTACATAATTAGTTTCCATGACCTAGCAGAATAATTTGAAAAGATTTCTCCAGATGTTGGTGTACTTGGGGAAGAGAGAAAGGAGCTCTTATATCTTTTTGAGGTAATTGGCCTGCAGATCATAATATATACACATACGCTCTTGAACGAAGCCAGATAGGAAGGAAGAGGGAGAGGAAGAAAGGGAGGGGGAGAGGGGAGCTTAGGTTGCCTCTTCTGCCCCTCTTACCACGACAGGCCTGGTCCTCAAAATTTGAATGAAGGAGACATTAATGAGAGAACTTCTCAGAGTTTGACTAACAGGCTAACATGTACACTCAGAGACAATTTTATCCCTCTATCAGTGTTACAGGGCCCTCTCACAGAGACATTCCCTATGATATGGGGACCTGAGATCACTTCTCTATTCCCAATTTTGTGTGAGATGCATCTGTTCTATGCCTGCCATTCCCTGTGTCTGTGGCAGCTTCTAAGATCAGATGGATGCCTATGTATGACAAGGGAGGAGTAGAAATCAAAAGGAAGGGGAACGGTTGGTAACAGCAGGTAGTAGGATTGAAAGTAGAGCTGCCATTAATTAAATTTAATTCATTGCCATTTATCTTTTCCATCCATTCCTTTTGTTTTATCCCCTAATATACTTGGTCTCTGCCACATCTGCAGATTGCTCTCTTTACTCTTTCTGCTTCTCCATTCTCTCATATTTCTCCTCTTCCAACAGTCTTCTACAGGCCTTCATTCAATAGCAGTGCTAAAACTAAAAATCTGCAAGTGCTATGTTCGTGAGCTGCATGTCTTGTAAGCCCTGAATCAGGTGTTACCAAAGCTTGTTTTCCTTTGACCACAATCAGATCCACTGTTGATCGTTCTTGGGATAGGATTCATGATTTCAACAAACAAACAAAGAAGCAAAAAAACACTTCTTTTTTTCATGGATCTTGTTAAGCAAGCCCCTCCCCCAACATTTATTTTTTATTTATTTTTATTTTTTTCCTTAACAAGATCCATGAAACTTAACTGTTCTACAACCGTATAGTTCATTGGAATTGCTCATTGGCAACTTTTTGTGCAACTAGGTTGCTATGGAATGCAAACTGGATTTAGTCCTTCCATGGTTGTGGGTGTGTTATTCAGATTTCTAGTTTCCATTAGTCAGAAATCACACTGGACACAGATAAAGCTGAAAATACTTCATAGTGTTTCCACCCTACTATCTGTAAAAGTGTTTTAAGATTTTATTTACAAAAATAACAAATGAAGACTAAATTGAGTCTATGATGATACTATATTATGCACAAAGCACGTATACCAGCTGTATTATTTAATATAATCAATAAAAGGAAAAATATATAATTGTTTTCCATTGTTACCAATAGCATATGGTATTAAAATAAAAACATCATTTTAAATAGTGAGCTGTTATGAAATTACTTAAAAATCTTGGGCTTGGACTGCACGACATGACTGCACTAATTACTGTACTGTGATGGGTTAGTCTTGGCCAGCAGCCAGATGTCCACGCAGCTCTCTCACTCCACCTCCTCAGCTGGACGAGGGGAGAAAATATGGTGGAAAAGTCTGTGGGTCATGGTAAAGACTGTGAAATTGCTTACCAGTTACTCTCAGTGGTAAAACAGGCTTGACTTAGGGGGGCATTAATTTAATTTATTGCCAATTAAAATAGATTTGGGTAGTAAGTAATAAAAAACAAAAACTAAAATAACACTTCCCCCCTCCCCTTTCTTAATCCAAGAGTCCAAAAGTTCCTGTGAATAAATCATATATTTTTCTTTATTCTCTGCTTTCTGATAAAAACGGTGAAACATGAGTTCATTTTAGTACTTATTAGTGTTATTCTGCTGTATTCTTATAAATTGACCTTTTAATACTTTCTTGATGTAGTTCACAGTATATCATGTTATTAAAATATTAACAACTGTATTTTCAAATGTGTCTCATTGGTTTCAAAAGGAAGTGATCAACAAAAATTTCAAAGCAAAACATTCTTTCATTGTATTACATTTCTTCATTAAGACAGCGTAATGACACGTTTCTAAAGAAGCACATTCTCCAGCAAAAGTATCCCTCTGGGAGCAGGGAGAAGAGAAATAGATCATGTAGAAAATCTGTAGATATGATGAAGACATTTTGCTGTCACTCAACAAAATATCCTAAATGGTTATAACATTTTTGAGCACATCAACACTTTACTTTGCATTTTCACATCAGCCCAACTTTCAGATACCAATAATACTTTATTATTTATTCTGAAAGACACAAGTTTTATATTAAATTGTATTATATTAGTACTGCTTAAAGAAATTTCAAAACTACTAGAAGTATATTTGATTGACAATTCAGACATTTTTAATTTATAAACAGCCATTGATCTCAGTTTATCCTGGTCTCATGTCTCCACATACACACACACAAAAAATAATCTCTGGAACTGGACATACTAACCAGAGTTAAATATTCCACCTTCATCATGCTAAGTGCTGAGTTTTGTGAAATGAAGAGGAATACATGGGTTTTAGTGTATCCGATTGTATCACTGTCAGTTAGCAAAATAAACTTTTTGTGTGAATATTTCACAACATTTGAACACACTTTCTACATAGTATTTGATTAACAACAGACCTGGCCAACAGCAATATAAATAACTGTCTGAAATACCAAATACTGAAACTTGATATAGATTTAAAGAATGTATCCATTAAAACCTGTTTAATCATATCCCCCCCCCAGCTTTTTTTTTCCACATCATTTGCTTTTTTTTTTTCTTTTTTTTTCTTTTTTTTTTTTTTCCCTGGATTAATCCACACTTCAGTTTTCCTAAATGGTTTGCAGTCTGTCCAATCTGTAATGTCCCTATTATGTTCCTTTGCAGTGGTCCTATGTCATACTGCCTTCTTTTAATTTTTTTTTTTTTGCTTATATTTTATATCCCTGTAAATGTATTTCTTCCAATTCTTTGTATTACAAGCTTACAAAATGTAGAAAATTCTATCTTTTGTATTCTTATCCCCCTTTCCACCATCACATTTCCATTCCTGTCCTCAGAACTTGACCCGCAAAATTGTATTTTGGAATTGCATTAAAAGCTGGCCAACAGTTTCACTATCAAGGACAAGGTACAGCCTTGGATGTACCTTGTACCTTGATAGTGAGACTTGTACCTTTGTACAACAAAGGATGTGAAACAGGTGCAAAGTCAAATCCTTTCAAATTACTGAGATTTTTTAGGCATGGTTTCTTTCAATTCTCCTTTGTAGTCCTGCCTTTTGTACTAGTCTCATGCTAATAAACAGCCCATTTACTCCTGAGATGAGGCAATGAGGATGCACTGCTTCTGTCTCAATTTATCTTACCTCAAAGTGTTCTAGCTGCTCCGGGCTCTGGTATCACTTTTGCTTTACCTTTCCCAGCCTGCTTGTGGGTTTCACTTTTCTCTGAAACATGAAACTGTTGATGGCTTCTCTTATCAGTTGTGGAAAGAACAAATTCACTATCATTCACTTTTTTGATCACCCAACAGTGAAAACAGTGAGCAACTAAATAGCCACCACTTGGCAAACCTGTAAAATACAGCAAAGGCATTAGAGCAACTTCAGAAAAACAAAATATTTTATCTTATTCCCATTGTAACTGTAAGAACTGGATTTATTATACAATAATCCTCAAAAAGACCTGCTGCTATTTATTGAGGAAAGCCACCTACCTGTTACAAAGGGCAAAAAGGTTTGCCTTGTTTTGCTTGGATGATTAATTTTATTTTGATTGCAACCTTTTTAGTGACTCTGCTCCCTCTGCTTTTTAACTGTCATCTTCCAGTTGCTAGAGGGGTTCTGGTGTTCCATTCTACCATTTTGCTTGTTGCTAAGGAGTAGCACCATGGTTTTACGCTCTTTGCTTACTTGCTATTTCACCACTAGTGGTAAGAGAGTGTTTCCGTAGAATGGGGAAGCAAGCATTTTTATGGCTTTATTCCCACTCAGGATGATCCCTTTACAATTGCTCCTCTCGTGGCTATGTACACATGCTCACCCCTATGTGTGCTCTTGATGTCCCTCTGGCAACTCTGGAGAAAACTGTTCCCACCTACATACGGCATGTACAGAAGTAAACAAATTTCCCAAATTGCCTTCCCCAAATGCCCGTTCTGTGCTTTGATTGAACACTTCTTGCCAGAGGTCAGTGGTCCTGAAACTGTGCCTGACAGTGCTGGGAGTGCTGCCAGGCCTTGGTGCCTGCGGCCACAAGACTGAGGGGAGAATGGCTTGGGGTCCTGGCTGAGGTGAGGTGAGGTGGTTCCATGTCCCGCGTGTGGGGCTCCAACGGCTGCTGTGTGAGGAGCTGCCATGGTGGCCCGCCCGCCGGGAGCTGTCACCATGGCAATGCGCGTGAGGTAAATGGTGTTGCCTAGCAACCGGGGCTTCGGGCACGAGGAGTCTCTAGAGAGTTCGGAGAACAGCCGTTGGAATGGGGGGAGGGGCAGGGAGCTGGGGTGGGGGAGGGGAGGGAGCCGGAAGCTGCTTTGACACCAGGCCCAAAACAGACCCAAAACTGGTCCTGAAACCGTCCCCAGGAATGCGCCAGGAACGCCGATATGGCGTTGGCCTAGTGCTGCAGGGTGCTGTGGTTGTCCTTGGAGCAAGCTCTCCACAGGCGCTGCTCATCCTCTGCGTTTGTCCTTGTTCTCCCCTTGCTACGGGGGAGAACAGTCAGGAGCAAGTAAAAGTGTGCACGTCGATGTGAAAGGAAGTTACAGAAAGTCCCTGCCCCAGTTTTGGTTTTCTTGGCGGAGACTAAGGTCGGAAAGAGCTCCTTGAGCACGTCTCCTTCATGCAGTTGCTTTCTAAAATTAAATCACAGGGACATAACTTTTAATCTTTCAGTAATGCAAATAGGTAAAATGTAATTCTCTAAAACAGAATTTGTTTGGGAGACTTGCTTAGGTCTAGGTGTTTGTACCCCAACAAAAGAGGTCTCAAGAGAGAGAAGGTCCAGAAGAAGTTGATGGAGACAAGCAGATGTCTATGTAATGACAGTTACATTTCTTTGGTTTTCTGTGCTAGACAACAGGTCGGGAGAAAGTGGAATACAAAGACTTGATGATAGCTTCTACATTGACTGATTTCTCAGGAAGGACATGTGGTGGTGATGATGGAGAGGAACATGTAAATCTTCACTTAATATGAATTAACAATTAAAAAAAAAAAGTGAAATAGAAGAAGGGAAAATTGGAAGAAAAAATATATTGATGATAGTAGAACATTAGCTTGTCTATCTGTACTTCTGTATCATATGCACTCATGAAATACTGTTTTCAGGTGTGATACTACCATCTCAAACACAGGCACACCATTACAGAAATTTGAGTTCAAGCATAACTGAAAACATTGATGAAAACAAAAATGAACGGTTGAGAATGTTCCATTTAGCAAGTAGTAAGTGACAACAACTATGAAAGCTATGAAAAAATACTATGTGGCATAGAGATTTCAGGCTGACATTCCGTGTGGCCTTTCTAAAAGCCCATCGGGGCAAATTGTGAAAACTGAATGACACAGACTGTGGATATACTAAGTTACAACAGTCAGGAAGCCTCATGGGGTTTGTAGTCTCCATATTAGAACTGCCTGGTGCTGCTCATGCGCCATCTGATGTGAAAGAAGTTGCTCCAGTACACCACCTTTCCGTAACCACTGCTGCTCACTCAGATGAGATTACACATATGTCATTTCTACACCACATAACAGAAATAGGTTCTACAGGTTCATAAGATATCTCAAATTTAAATGTATTCATTTTTGATTTTGTTGAGTTTAATTCTACTTCAGGCATTAAATTTGAGTCTCTGTTTCTCTCACAAGATAAAACACTTCTTAGCTGTTTCTATTACTGTCAAATTGTGCAATGAGGAAAAAAACACAACTTAATTCTTTTGACAAAATCCCCACACTGCAATCTGAATTCCTGATACTAGACCTATTCTACCGGTCTTTAGTTTAGCATTTTAGAATTACCATTTTAGTATAAACCTTGCTGCTACCTGTGAAGTGGGCATGTTCGCCATGCCAGAAGCAAGTATCTAGGCAGACTCACTGCCATGGTAGTCAAAGCAAATTTGTGAAGTCCCAGATTTATGGCTCCCTCACCCCTCAATTCCTTTGCTAAAACAAACAAACAAACAAACCCTTTCCCTAATTCTTCAGACATTAGAATTTTACTATAAAATACAAATCATTGTGGCCATAACTTCTTTTTATGATTCATGAGCATACTTTATAGCATTTCTGAAGTGTAAAATTTTATAACTGGTTTCCAGTTGATATGATAAACTTCCCTGGCTTTCTTTCTCCCTTTTTTACTACTTCTACCAGCACCAATTGTTCAAATTGTGGTGTGCTGCATTAGGAAAGGATGTACACTATTCAAAATATATGGAAGAGAATATTTCTGTCTGTTGAGATTGTGTTTTACTGTCACTTGGAGTTTCAACTGAAAGAACATTTATTATTATCAAGCAGTACAGTATCAAACAGAACAGTAACATATCTATAGTCATCTGTGCTGTTGAAAGTAACATTTTATTACATATATCCAGCTTTTGCATGTGCCCCCTCTGGCTATTTAACAGTGCTAAGCAGTTACATATAAAATGTACATTTCCTCTGACCCACAATTGACTATGTGTATTGATATGCTGATCTGCTAATTTACAATTCTAATTTTGTAAATGATGTCATAAACTTCAGAGTATTGAGATTGCAGGCCTGTAGAACTTCACATGTTCATCTGACTGTCAGTGACAATGAAACATACTAGAAATAAACATGGATCCCTGATTCAGGAATACATTTCATGATGTGAGCTTCAGACGTATCAACAGCTTTTTGTCTCATTTTACATCACCCATAGCTCATGTGCTGGCAGTGCAGTGCTGCTTCCTCTTTTCTAGGACTCCAGATCATGCTCATCAGCTCCGCATGGCACGTAGTGAATGAGGAGTCAGAGAAAGCCTGTACGGACAGGCTATGTCCACAGGACATCTCCCAGAATGCTGCAGTAATTCCTCTACAAAAGCATGTTCCTTGGCTACAGTGTGTGATGTTACTATCAAGGGGAGCTCAGCATAGGACAAAATGTGCCACAGTCTTTGAACTACAAGGTCTATTCATTCTGATATTTAGAAAGCTGAGAATCCTATGCTTGAAGAAAACGAGGATTTCAAATTTAGGTGCTAGACTATTCACCAGGACAGTTACCAATGATGTTCTAGTTCCTGAGCATTCTAGGCTATTTCGCTTTACTTCAGGGATTAAAAGCTATTTTTGCTGCAGGGCTGCAAAATTAATGGATTTTTCTTAGGAATGTATGACTAAAGTAACCACCTTTCTTTCTTATGAAAAGCAACAGAACTCCCTGTTTATACTTATAATAAATTATTTTGTTGTTGTTGTTGATGATGATGTTGCGTTGTTATTTTTGTTTGTTTGTTTGTTGTTGTTGTTTTTGCAAGTGCAAAGTTGTTGGGTCCAGTTTGGTGGCCCAGCATCACTGTAGATAAACCATATTCTTCCTTCTTTTTCTTTTCAGATTTGGTTTGAAAATGGAATGTAACTTCCATGCATCTTCACTGAAGCCAGACATGAAAATAATAAGTATTACATTTGAACTGTTTAAAAGGGAGATACAAAGGAAAAAAATCCTACTATTGCATCTTATAAAGATATAAACCAAGTGTTGGCTTTACTGTAGATCTCTTCAGAAAAAAATACAGATAGCATTCTCAACTTTTCAATTGAAGGAAAAGGTTAATTTTCCATAATTAGTTTTCTCCCAAGCATATTACAGATATATGAATTTTTCAGTTGCCCACAGACTATTATTTTAATTATTAAAAAAAAAAAAAAAAAAAAAAAGGTGTTAGTGTGGGAGAGAAAGAGGAAACCTTTATAAAGTGAAATAAGCTAAAACTTTAAGCTCTTCTATGCAATGGCTGCAGTTAAATGTTCTGTTTTGAAAGAGTACAAGCTCGATATTTGGTTGAGCTTCATAATACAATGACTGTAATTACACTGAAATTATAGCATAGTTACACAAGTAATTTTTTATCCTACAATTACCACTAATTCATGTAACCACAAAGAGCATGGCTGGAAATAATTATAGAGTGAACACAATGGTGTTAGCACATTTGAGATACATACACATAAATTTATATAGATATGATCATGCGTCTGTCTATATGTATATATGGAATTCTGATGTAGGATAGACACATGTGTAGTGCAGAATGGGAACATCTGGCTTACCTGTGTAGTTACTATGTATTTGTATTGGCATTAATTAATCTTGAAAAAGCATGACTTTACTGTAAATGGGTATCAACTCAACAGCAACTACACTGTAATTAACCACTGTGTGATAAAGTCAATATTCTATATGCTTAAAACACAAGAAGTTTTAACCCCCTATTGCCCATCACATTAAAAACTGAAATAGCTACTTCATTTTAATCTATTATTTGCAATAGTTTACAAATGGCCATATGCTGAAATGCCACATTAAAAAATAATAATAATTGAATTATTTGAGTCTGATGAAATTATTCCAAACTTGCTTTTGATGCTATTGTAATTCTCAAAGAGGCAAGATGTAGAATTTTAGGTTTGCAATATTCCTGGTTTTGTGTAAGAAACACTGAGAAATCACTGCAGTTTGAACCTATTAGAAAGGCTAAGATATGAGAGGTTCTAGCTTCTTACTTGCACATTTCACACTGGCTATCACAAGATATATATTTTTTAATGCGTATTACTTAAATATTTATATTGCACTAACACTTTCACCATAGAGAGTAAGGAATGTTTATAATTTGACATGAGGAAAAAAAAAAGGCAGTGCAAAATAGTAGCAGTGATCTTTTTGGTTCCATTACTTTGGTCTCAGTTTGTCAGTCCTGGGCTGTGACTTTCTGCTTTATAAGGCAAGGATATTGCAGAAAAACAGGAGGGATTAGTTACAGGAAACACTAAGAGAACGAGGGAAGGAAGGTTGTGCAGGACCACTGGAAGCAGGAAATGCAAATCTGATAAAAGAAGGCAGTGAGTGAGTGCAGTACAGGAAGCAGTAAATCAGATAGGGTCAGAAGAGACAAGAATAAAGAGTACAGTTCAATGACATCATCAGTGAGACCATTGAAATTACTTCTGAGTTTGTGTCTGTGTCTGCCAACACCAACCTTTGGTGGAATCATTACAGGAAAAGGAAATTATTTATTCTTCCCCTTAGGTCATGTAAACACAGAGTGATGGTGTGGGGGAAGATGACCACACGGAAACGGGGTCACTGAATGATGAGGTCTGAAATGATTTTTGGCCTACAACAAGGCTAAACTACAGCTGAAAATAGCATGCTGATGAAAGGGCTTATTTGCCAATATACCTGCAATTCTACTTCTGCATATGTTGTAACTGATGTAGAAATATGCAGCTAAGTCAAAATATGCATTTAGCATTCAGGATGTCTTTGCAACATTATCTCTGTTGTGAAATTCTACTGCTCATGCTAGTACAGTTCTAACAGCACAGCACGTTCCTCTAACTTCCTACCTCTAGAGGCAAGAAAGCTAATGCAACCTTCCACACACATACTCTGCTGCATTATATTATTCATCTGTAAGTGGAAGATTATATACTCAAATCCCTCCTGTAGCTGAATGCCTGCACAACAGTGTGTCAAGGCAGTATTAAACACTTGGAATGAGGCTCTCATTAGTCACAATTTAGTGCCTCAGGAAGACTCACTTTGTAAGCTACCAAGCTTAGTCAGTCAATTAACGTCTAAGCCTTCTCACCTTACCTGCATTCAACACAGTCAGATTAATATACCTACAAAAACATGCATCTCTGAAGTACCTAAACTGGGAAAGGTTTAGTAATATTTATGACCATTATAACATCTTATATATATCATCTTATATATATCCACCCATGTACAGACTTGTATATTCCTAAGTGGACCTTCAGTAAGTGTGTCACATACATATGGTAATAATTATTGTATGGGTGGGTCTGTTTTATGATGGCATATATAAATATGCAATACTATTTGTATGAAGAGTGTAGGCAACTGAGGAGCATTACAACAAATGTATAGCAACAGATTTCCTCCAAACACCGATGATTACACTATGTAACTTCTAGTGTAGTAAAACTCATTTTGAAACAGAACCATGTCTGAGCTGGAATGGTGCAAGCCAATCACATAATCATTCCCCATTTTAAAGTATTCTAAGGTCTTTTTTCTTTCTTTCTTTTTTTTTAAATGAAAATTATAAAAATGAAAACAACAGGGGGAAAAAATCTAGTCTTTTTACTGAAGCAAATGGGTTTTCCTTGGAGGTTTCCTGTATGCTTCCTTACAAGCATGACAGCCTGTAAGAACTGATGAACTTGGAACCAAAGATAAGATCCTATAATCAGCTTACTTTTATAAATATCCAACATCAAGAGGCAGAGAAGAGGGAAACAGGAATGGAAAAGCAAATTGTACCATGTTAATGCTGGAGTATCTTACCAGTTGATCACTGGATGTTACATTTGTCTTCTGATCTAAACAGACAGATGACAAGACATTTTAAATTTTAAGACTGCTCTACTTTATGCCACAAAATATGTAATTCCTTAGGAGGTAAGATCTGCTTAAGAACCTGGAAATGTGGCAACAGTATGTGCAGTTGCATCCAAATTACTTTTTTGAGAAATATTTTCAGGGGCAAGCTGGCAGCTTCCTCTTTATATTACAAATGTTGGTTGTCTATTTCCTTCCAAAGAGGTTCTTGAAGGAATTATTTGATTTTTTCCCCATGGGAAAAACAAAAAGAAGAACAAAACCCAAACACACAACAAACAAACAAACAAAAAAGACATTGAAATCATTGAATATGCATGCCACAAACTGAAAAAAAAAAAAGCCAATTTTGGAATGCATTGGTGGTATTGATGGCCAGGATCTAACATCAATAGACTCCTTGAACTCCTCTTAAATTAAAATGGCTAGCAAAGAAAAGGCAAAGAAAAGATTTGGAATACAATTAGAAACAAACCAGTGAGTCAAAATCTTAGTACAACAGACTCGAGGGTGTTCATTCTTCACTTTAGAAGCCACTTAATCTATATAAAGAAAGCCAAAGGAGAACTCATGAGTCAACATGATTCACATGATGTCAGGAAATGGTCGTATACCAGATTACGTGAAAAGGAGAAGGAATGACCTCATCATATCTGAAGACCAATGTAAAAAAGACCTGTGTAATCTTCCTGATGGTTTCTTTCTTCCCACAGTGGCACTGACAAATACATCCAAGCAGCTGGTACTAAGTCATCTTACCTGTTTTAGTATCTCACATATGGAAGTCCTGAAGGAAGTAGTGTCACAGTGAATTATATGTGTCAGACAAGTTATTCTGCTGCTTATTCCTTTCCATCCAGCATTCCTCTTCACCTGGATCAACTTCTCCATTTTACTTGTGTACAGTTTTCTCCTGACCTCAGATCATCTCGATGTCACCTCCCTGTTCCAAATGCAAGCGCATCATATGTTTGCAGTTACAACCTGTTTGGAAGTAAATGCAGAAAAGGGTACAGAACTCCTCAGTGGCCACATTCGTACCTCTATGTGACCTGATGGAGGACCCTCAGTTATAACCCTGTTCTCTTGAGAGAGACATTTATCATGCCCTCTCTAAGCAAATACCAACTCTGCATGGGCCTGAAGGTCCCAGAGAAATGAGCTCCAAGTGAAAAACCAAAACAAAACAAACAAAACAACTCCTCTCCAAGTACACTTCAAACTGGCAAAGGAATAATCAAAAAGTGATAAAGAAAAGCTTATTTCATCCTTGCTGCCATTCAGCCTAGTATTTGGATAATAAAGATTTGTGTTTTTTCTTGTTCATTTCCACTTGCAGTCATACTGCTCTCCTGATAGACAGAGGCAGTCATCTGCTGAGTTCCTGATAAAACTCCTGATAAAGGAAGAGAGGGGGATGAAGGACAAACTTGCTGAGTTCATGTTTGCATCTCATCAAAATGGCCAGAAAGCTGACAAGTAAAGAAGACGGGTATTTCACAGCCTGCGAATTGCAATTCATTCAGTTGGTTACCCATCCAGCATATGTATCCTACAATTTAGAAAAGTTTTTGTAAAACTGTTAACACATTCTTATCATCAAGCTACCTTCTTCACTTTCCACTTCATTACTTTTCATCCTGTTCCAATGGATATGAAATAAAATAATCATTCTGCTCCTTTCTGCAGATGCATTTTTAATATTTCAACATTTCTGCTCATTCTTCACTAGACTAAACATGTCCAGTTATACCAATCCTGGGTTAGTCTTTCTAGATTCCTTACCATTTTGCTGTTACTCATCTTTGGATTTTCTCCAGCTGATGTGTATTTGCTTGGAGTGTTGTGCCCATAATTGGACATGCTACTTTACAAAAGAATTAAAGTTGTGTTTTTGCAGTGGAAAATTCCACTAACCTTGCATATTCAAAAGTGATTGTGCAGCCATAACAGTGGGGGGTATGTTAAGATAAGCAGATAAGGGGACAGTGGAAGGTTCCACTGTCCCAAAATAAGGACGATGGCTAAGAAAAACAAGACAAGCAGTTGTGGAATCAGCAAGGACAAGAAGTTATGAAATCATGGGCCCCTCAAAAATAAATAAACAAAAAAACAAATTATTTAATTAATTAAAGGTTGGTCAAATAAAACTGTGCACACAGAACATAGAAACAAGCATTGGGCAGGTTGTAAACCTGTAGTATTCAGCCAATGAGAAAACAGGGGAGGAATCAAGTGTCGGGTAATAGAGGATATAGGGCTGTGATACGCTTCCGCTGTGCACTCCTGCATGCAGGATGCCCACCATTGCAATTGCAAATAAATTAACTTCACAAGAGACCCTGTCTTAGAAAATTATTGGGATATTTCTCACATTTATAGATAAGTTTTTAGCAAGCTTTTTACTTGTTGCAAAGTAGGAGGAAATTCTGTCATTGTCCCCCATTCACTTTAAATGATTAGCACTACATTGAAGAAATAGGTGGTTGTTTTTTTTTTTTTTTTTTTTTTTTTTTGTTTTGTTTTGTTTTTTAATTATTATTAAAAATTATTATTATGTAAAATTTTGCTTAGGAATTTTATTGGGAGTTCACTGACATACAGTTTCTCTCCATTAACTTCAAATTATACAGTATTTAATTTTTTTTTTCTTCAGTATTGTTGGCATAAATACCTTCTTTACCCATCGCTCAAACTTCAGCTCTGAAAACACAGTAACCACCTAGCTGAACAGACAGAAATTGTGTGTGTGCATTCTCATGGGCTATTCCATAGATCCACAAAGTCCTTCCACCTTTATCTCCTAGCCACAGACAAGAATTTGTGCCACTGTTGAGCAAAACCCACTAACAGACTGCCACCCAGAGCAGGTATGGCTCAGAAATTACCCCCTGATCTTAAGGAACCCCACCTGTTCAACAGGTTTGTTAATGCACTGAACTTTTACTTGGGAGATGATCAGTTTGTAGCCACACAACTTTCTTACTTCCTATAAGATCCACAAAAAGCTGACATTTTCATCCAATGGAAGTGGACAGTATACTGAAATCTACATTTCCACATCTATTTTGTCTCTGTATTTGTCCACTAAAGAGAAACAATTGTAAGTACTGCCAGGTCTTGCTTTCTGACAACAGCAAGGAGTTTAAGCCTTTTGATTCTTGGTTTCCACCCAGTCAGGTAAAAGCTGGCAACACTGTTAACTACACAAGTGGGAGGCAGTCATCTAACTATTAGAAACTACACTTCCTAACCCTGTTAGGAAGAAACAACTCTCTGCTTGTAACTACTTTCTGGTCACAGCAGACACAGGTTTAAAATCACTCAGTGTACAGTAACCTGAGCACTCAACAATCTGGTCAATTATTCAAGCATTTTGCATAACTTTAATTATTTTGAAAATCCAGCTTTGACAACCAAGTACTATTTAAACATTGTGGATAAGGTAACAATCAGGCTATTTTGTGTTCTTAAATATTTAAAACAATACAAAAGTAAAAAAGCAGGATGTGGAACTGGCAAATTTACAGATTAAAGAAGTTGTTTTATTCATTTTTCTGATGGAAATGGTGTTATAATGAGCACAGTTAAGTAAATATGGATAATTATAGTGAAAATAAAATCCTATCTGTTCTTGACCTCTTTGCTATTTTTTTTTTTTTGTTTATTTATTTATTTTACTGCTCTGGCAGCAGAAGCTTGAATGGAAGAGAATTTATGCTATTCCAGCTGAATGCTGGGCGATGTATTTGTTCCTGAACTATTAACAGTATATGAAGGCCGTGAGGAGATTAACAAATGGACATCAAGATGAGGAAGAAATTGTCAAACCCAAAACCTATATAATTTCTTAGTATGCTCAGGTACTCAGCTGGCATTGACAGATCTGAACAGCTCGTGTTCACACAGCTCTAAAGCATGACAAGTAAACATCATGCTACAATTGCAAGATGTCCTTGGCTAAGACCCTGCAAATGCAAATTCAGTGGCTAACAGCATGGGAGAAACAGTGCTTGGCAATTGATATCTATTTCAAAGCTATATAGATCTATTTTAAAAGTTGCACTAAAGTAATTACATAGAACTCAGAATTTACAGTATAAAAAACAGATGGAAACCTTTTCCATCAGATAGTGCAATAAAAGCTGTTCCCCATACAGCCCGAACACAACCCACAGAGGCTGAGACTGGGGTAACAGAAAGAGAAAGCTGGAAGGAATTCACTGAGGTGGTGCCGCTCCTTGACAGGGCTGGTGAACAAGTCTAACTGGGTGAAGCCTAAAGAACCAAGATAGATAATTGTCTCCAAGGACCCCAGCTGACACTTTTTCTTTGCAGTACAGAGCTCATTTCAGCCTCTGCATAGTTCGTCTGACCCTCTTCAGACCTGTCTCTGTGTGACTCCTCTCTAGTACAAAGCAAAGAGTCCTATGCCCTCAAATGGAAGAGGTAAAATCTGCAGCCTAAATAGAGGTCTCCTGACATTTGTATGCGACTTGTGTTTCCCAGGGACATAGCATGCATTTGATAACTAGCATTTTCTAACAAAAGCATATTTTCAGTGCTGCTGCAAGAGAAATATACTGAGTATGTTGAACAAGAACTTGCATCATTATTTTGATTTGGACCTTCCTCTTTTGGTTCCACCTTTGTGATTGAAATTAAGTCAGACTTCATCTCTTCCCAGTGCTTCCAACTTTACTCCATTTATTCATGTAGACTGAAGCACAACATATACAAACTGGTGTGGGGAAAACAAACTCCATTTCTCTATTCTCTGTTCAGTGCACATGCAACCATATCCACACGTATTCTACCCTCCTGGTAAGTCTTCCAGTCTTCCATAGTTACAGGTTGGCTTTAAATCTTGTCTCACTGTGGCAAAATTCAAGGTCCCAAATTTATCTAATAATATTTTGTAGTTTTGTTGGCAAGGGGAACTTTGTTGTTGAGTAGGATTTGGGTTCCTTAAGTATAAGGACTGTTTAAAAACACTTTTTCCTCCAATTAGAAATTATTTTTGATGACCAGTGTTCATAGGTCCAGGGTAGCTAAACTTGCTGGCACTGCAGGGCTGAATACGTAGTAGAAAGAGTAGAATTTTTCCTAAATGGCCCCAGGAGAGCTTAAATAGCTGGAAGAATAAAGCATAAGATCACTGTAATTAAGTAGTATTATATTACCAGTTCAACAGAGAGATTATGGGCAGAGAAATTTCTACATTTTGAACTTATGAACTTACCATTTTAGTCACAGTCAGACTCACAGTTTCCCTAATTTGTGTTTTCCTACTATTGTACTGATGGAGACAATTTGTGAAACAGGAAAATATGACTGTAAAAAGCTGCAATAATTGACACAGTAGAATCATGTGTAGGAGTAGTACTTGGAAAAAATGACTTCTAGAGTGGCTGCATAGTTCTGTGTTCTTTTAAGGCAGTAACCATCAGCCCAAGGGCAGCTATCTGTGAAGTCATCAGACAGCTAACTTGCCCATGCATGACTTCCAGCAGGAAGTCAGTGTTGTGCCTTTTGGAAGTGAAATAGCAAACGAAATTATACTGTTGGGGATATATAACTTTTTTTTTTTTTTTTTTTTTTTTTAATCCTCACAGATAGGGTGTATTTTTTTTTTTTCTATGTGAATCATAGATCTTTTCTATACAAATAGTTAATACTGTTGAAGAGGCTGTAACTCTGTGAACTAGAGATAATCATCTGACATACAGAGAATGTGTCAAGGCAACAGAAAGAGCTGGACAGCGTAAAAAGTTACTTGGGACACCATCCAGTTTTAACGTTTGCTTATTTTTAGCTAGAATTTGCACCTCACCTATACTCATGCTGTTTTCTAGTTCCTCCACCTCCAGACAACTTAGCAAACAGTAGTAAGAAACTACTTTATTTCTCACAAACAATGTCTCCAGATCTTTTCTTGCAAATGCCGTTCTTTGCCACTGGGTTTCCCTTTTGATTTCAGGACACAGTGTTTCACCAGCACTTTTAGTATTGATGAATGCTTGTGAGTGTAAGCACTTACAATGAGGAATGCATTGCATTCAAGCTTGCTGGGACAGTCTGTACATATGCTGCTGGCCTACATATGCCTTCTGGCTCTTGCGCAAGGACACAAGACAGCTCTGTTTCCTGCCATGAGTCATCATTCAAGAATGGTATTTACATAGAAGAAAAAAAGAAAAGGAATAAGAAAAAAATAGGGAAAAAAGTAGGAAAAAAAGAAAAAAGAAAAAAAAAAGATTCCAGGGAAGAGCAAGTAGCAGCAGCCCATGTTTTTTACAGCAGTATTAGTTATTTTTTTCTTTTAAATAAACATCTTGCTAGGAAATCCCACAAAACTCGGAGCTTTTTAGCTTTTATTATGTTACAGCTAGGCTGGGTATAAAGCCTATATTAGAGCATGGTGTTGATCTTGTCTAGTGAAGTAGACACTGTCCATGTATTTGTGTATACTAGAGTTTCACAGTGATAAATTTTATGAATGTAGACGTGCACACCCTTTTTTGTCAATAAAGATACACTCTTAGGGTAAAGAATATTTAGAAACTGGATGAGTTGTGTGAGGAGTGCACACATTAACCTTTACAAATATCAGGTGCCTCAAGTCAAAGGGCTA